ATGCTCCATGGAGGGGGGCTCACCCTATCATACTTTGAAAACCCCTGCTTTAGATGAACTCATATTTCTCGTCTAAAGTTTTAGATAAACATTTGATTTAAACTGCAGTTCTGCTCATTGTCCCTGTAGTTACAAGTTCAATTTAATTTCTTCTGAGGTGCTACTGTATTCCCGACGTGGTGCATATCTGCTGTCTGAAGGCAAAAGGCGCAAAAATCTATTCATTCAAAGATTCCTCCTCGTGTTTTTTGTATAGACATATTTTCTTTGTCATACACTGAGACACGACTTGCTGTACTAAATAAAATGTTTGATTTACTTACACACACAGGAAGTCGTGTGTCAATAATTGACCAAATTTCTCATTTGCGTTCTAAAATGTTCAGTCAAATAAAGGAAATTTTCCGTTTTGTTTTATTCTTGGATCGGGCTTTAAAGGGTTAAAGAAATGAGGGGGATCTGACAGGCTTTTAGGACACCGTCTTATTTTGCTTAGCTGGTCGGTTATTTTTGTTTTTTTCGTGGTGTTGTGTGAGGTCTTCCCTACCTCGTACGTGACCCCGCTGTCTGTGCCGGCGTCCCAGGGCACGAGTTCGGTCTCCAGCCTCTGGACCCAGCCGCAGTCTTTAGTGCAGAGGTCCTCCCCGGACAGTCCCACGTTCCAGTCCGGGCTGGGCCCCAGCATGCTGAGGAAGGACATCAGGTGCCGGGTCCGGTCCACCGAGAACTCCGCCGACGGCGCCGCCCGCCTGGACCGGGAAAAAAACCATCACATCCTGGATACCGTCGCCATGGCAGAGCGTGGAGGGCCTTCCCTACGCTAACATTTCCCTTTGTGACCTCTGACCCCCGGCACAGTGGTGTGGTCTCACAGCAAAAAGGTTCTGGGTTGGAGTCCAAGCGGGAACCAGGACCTTTAAGCCAGAGGGTTCTGGGTTGGAGTCCCAGGGGAACCAGGACTATCTGCCAGAGGGTTCTGGGTTGGAGTCCCGGGGGAACCAGGACCAGAGGGT